TCAGCATTATTACAAGGAAGGAAATATCAGAAAATTGAATAAGAAATGTATTTACAATGATCTAAGAGATGAGCAAAAGCCTTCTAGAAATAATATGTTCTTTTCAATATTAAATTTCTTGTTATAGGTGATATAATTGTCTACACAAAAGTGTCCCAGCTTCTGAACAAATTGTCTTGAGTATTATTAATATCTTAAAACTGAGTGTTCTTATATAGTATTTTTGTTCCTCTTTGTGACTACTAAATATTCAAAGAAGGAAATACATCCTAGTTACCTAATATCGATTCAAATAATATATCATTATAAAATAAAAATACCAGTTCATTATGCTAAGTCAGAATTTCCTCTTCTTTTTGCTTTGCTAAAAATTACAGATCTAATGCCCTATATTGAGGTTTCTCCAAATAAAACAGGCAATTCTTAACTGCTTTCCCTGAGATGCTTATGTCATCTGGGAGTTTTAAACACATCATATAGGACAAGTAGAACTAATTCTTTTTTTCTCTTTTACCTAATCATACTTAAAAATTCTGTGAATTAGGTAAGTACTCTAACAGTAAATGCAGTTAATTTTAAAGGGAAAATGTTTAGTGTTCACAATTAAAATAACTAAGAACATAATATCTCAAATATTTTAAGAAAATACTAAAAAAGTCACTGTATATGACAAAAATTACTTTCCATTGAGCTATATTTATATTTTTAAGTATAAAGTCACTTGATTAAATCCACTTAGATACTTATTTTCTGACATGGATTTTCTTTTTTTCTTTGTTTAAGTAAATAGTACAAGTTGCCTGATCCCTAGAAAATTCTGTAGGTAAACAAACACTGTGAGATGAAACATGCCAGAACACTGAGGGTAACTTGCATTCATTGACCCTGTAGAGGTGCTGGACAAAGGCTCATTTTTAAAATGGAGCATAATTCAAAATTATGGATTTGGCAAATCAATAATTCTTTATACATGTCAGATGAAGTATTTTTTTTTAGTTAGCTAATTGGCTTTAAGGAAAATATCTCACTGAACTAAAGACATTAGAGGTACAAATGAAAAATTTTTTTTAAAGATTTTATTTATTTATTTGAAAGAGAGAGAATGAGAGAGAGCACGAGAGGGAAGAGGGTCAGAGGGAGAAGCCGACTCCCTGCTGAGCAGGGAGCCCGATGTTGGACTCAATCCCGGGACTCCAGGATCATGACCTGAGCCGAAGGCAGTCGCCTAACCAACTGAGCCACCCAGGGGCCCCCCAAAATTTTTTTTTATTTCCCCCTAACTGTGATACCAAAGTCTGAATATCTTAATTTGGATTTTCAATGACGTATTTATTTTTCAAATTAAATTTTCACATTGTTTTCTAAATTCTTTTTGTAAACTTCTGAACTTAGAATACAGTTGAACTCTGAAAACAAATAAACTTATTACGCTTTGCAAAGATTTCTAGGAGTACTCTCATTGTGAATGTGAGTGTGCGTTTGGAAGAATTGATTCATAAAAGCCAGAGACACTGACTACTTCTTTAAACTTCTGAGTAAGTAAACTTTACCTAAATAGGTTGTATTCCCTGTAAGAACTCTTCATGTGATATGCTGAAATATCTACTCTTCAATGCTTAATGTAAATTGTAAAATACATAATTGTATTTTGTATTTTGACCTCACCTTTGGGTGAGGTCAAAGAAAGTATTTCTTTAGGAACTTCTACAAATAGTCCCCTTCTTTAGTAATAGATGATTGAAACTATTCCTGCCAACCCTCCAAGTGGTATCATACCACCAACTGAACTATGGAAAAGTATATTTTGTTACTTAGTAATTTCAAACTAAAATTAGGCCAATTGTAATTGTTTTAGAGCATCTAAACTATTAATTTGCTTCTATGTGGCCATGTATGGAACATGTCACAATTGGATGGACACTGGCAAGCTGAGTCCCTTTAAATTGCTTGACTGAATACAAAGAGATAAATCATTTGATTTCAGCTTCTCCTTGACTGATGTAAATGACAAACCTGGTAACTGTTTATATTGCAAAGGTTACCAATTTAATAGAATCAATTTTTTTTCTAGCCCTGTGGACTTCCTTTCCAACTAATCAGCTTATGGCACCCATTGACTGACACAGTGAATTTACTTTCAAAAGAAAGTAAGTTTTATCACTTATTTCTGTATGTGTTTTTCTTTTATTAGGGCTTACATTTGAAGTGCCCTGGGAGTCTTTGATATATTATCTTCTCTTTCCCTGGATTGCCTACAATTCAGTTGCAAAACACTTATTCTCTCCCAACATTTTATTTATTTATTTATTTATTTATTTGTTTGTTTGTTTGTTATTTTAAATTCTCACACCCAAACTGATCTACATCAATGTCTTTCCCTGGCATTTTTATGGAGGAGATGAATGAAGTAAACTGTCTCTGAGAGAAATAGCCTGTCTTCCCTGTTTCTTTTAGAGTTCCTTTTAATTTTGGTCATGCGGTTAAGGATTTCAGACAAGCAAGTTTTTTTTGTTTGTTTGTTTTGTTTTGTTTTGTTTTTATGAGTGACGGATGCATAGTTAACTTGGGAAACTTGGGATGGAAACTTGGCAGGGGCCCCATGGTTCAGAATATTAATATTTCTCTATTAGTTTAAAGATGAAAAAGCAGTATGACCTTCTTCAAATAGCCAAGCTAAAATTTCAGCTGCTCCTAAGGATTTGTGTGTGCTGTTTTTTTTTTTTTCCCTCCATAAATCCTCACATCTAGAGAGTCAGCAACAATGTTCCTATAATAAACCTCCCTGGCTTAGAGCCAATAAATATTTATAGATAGGCAGAACCTTAACTACCATTCAGTTAGGAATTTTTCCTTCTGGGTTCTGGAGTGCCCTTATGTTACATTAAGAATATTCTCAGATCTTTTCGGGGAAAAAATGAGAAGCCAAAAATTAAGAGTTTAAGATCAGAAAGTGTATCACACTTTTATGAGAGTAACTCCAATTTATCTGATATTAGAGTTGTACTTCAAATTTTATGAAATACCAATTTTAGTGATTAATCACTTCGAAATCCCCTATTTTCTGTTTTTCAACTTCCATTGCTCAAGCATGATAATAACAAATATTACTTCCCTAAATCTAGCTCTGTTTACTACTAGAGGACATCAGAATACAATTCTATCCATTCTATATTTGTCTCAAACTCAAAGAAAGGCCCTACCCTTTTCCAAACCTGTCTATAGGGGCTTGCACAGTGGAATTCAAAACACCACAAATTCCATGTCTGTGTCATCCCTGCAAAGCCATCCTTGGTAACTGCCAAAGTCACACTGAGTCAGTGCCACACTGTGCCTTATTGGATGGAAATTATGCTGATGTGTCAATATCTCAGAACTATTGGAGCCTGCAAAGAAAGTTGAGATCTCTGATCTCAATACAAAAAGAAATATGGTGTGCTCTCCTCATAAGTGGGGAAAGAATCTTACTTCCTAACTATGCTAATCCATGAATCCCTAGACAATGCTTTGGTTTTCAGACAGGTCTTTGTGGAATTACTGTATCTGTACTTTCTACCAAATTCTTCTCCTCAGAGTTAGGTACACATTGGTGAATATTAGGCTAGGAATAATGTGATACTTAACACTGGGTTGTTCAACTTCCCTCTTCCCTACCTTCCCCGTTAGACCCTGAGATAGTATTTTAGGCCTTGTGTGCCTGATCGTCCATTCTCCTTTGATGAGATATTGCTTGGAGGTTCTACAATTTCTTATATAAATTGTTCATGGCTGGACATGGCCCTCAGACCCTCCAGTGGAGCTCCTATATGCATGCATCCTTTGATAAGCAAAGCTAAGTTCAAGGTGACATGGGAAATTGAGGTCCACGCAGGTGAGAATGACTTCCCTAGAGTCTCACAGCCAGTGACAGGACAAAAACACAATTTACTGTTATGAGTTCATTGCAGCACACAGCTTCTCAGGGACTCTTGGTCAACATCTCCTTAAAACACAACCAATATCATTCGACACCAAATTATGTAAAGGTCACTTTGAAAATAGAATCAGTAAGAAAGAGATATTAGAAGAAAAGTTAATTCCTATTTCCTTAATTTTTACCTAATGATCTTTTTCTTTTCTTTTTTTTAAATTTTGTTTATTTATTTGACAGAGAGAGACACAGCGAGAGAGGGAACACTAGCAGGGGGAGTGGGAGAGGGAGAAGCAGGCTTCCTGGGCTCGATCCCAGAACCCTGAGATCATGACCTGAGCCGAAGGCAGACGCTTAACGAATGAGCCACCCAGGTGCCCCCTAATGATCTTTTTCAAGATCCCACTGTCCTAAATGGGATCTTGAAAAAGATCTATGCATTTAGTTGTCATCTCTATTTAGGCTCCTTTTGGCTATGACAGTTTCTCAAACTTACTTTTTCATGATGTCAGAGTTCTTGAGAAGCACTGGTCAAGTATTATAGGATGCTCCTCTGCTGGGACTTGTCTACACGTTTTTCTCCTAAGGAGACTTGGGTTTTAGAGAGGAAAATCACAGAGGATCACATATCATTTTCATTATATCATATCAAGAGTACACAGCATCAACATGATTTATGACTGCTAATGTTAACCATGACTACTCACTCCCTAAATGAATGTTTGCGATTTTCCCCACTGTGAAGTTACTCTTTCCCCCCATTTCTATACTTTACTTTTGGAACAAAGTTTCTGTGGCACAGTCTATATGTCATGGGTGGAGAGTTACACTTCCCCTTCTTTAGGGCAGGAAATCTAAATCAATTATTTGTAATTCTGTATGGAAGATTTATCTCTTCTTCCTCCATTCATTAATTCATTAAATCATTTATTTATACTCATGGAATCATAGACATTTATTTTATACTTTGCATTATAATCCAATACTACTTTATTTTGTTGTTCTAATTATTCCTTTCAGTTTTGGCCACTGGAAACTCTTTCCATTAGCTCATGGGCTCTTTGACAAGAATGTGTTGTTGCTGTGTTGTTCTTTTAATATGGAACACTTCATGAATTTGCATGTCATCCTTGCTCAGGAGCCATGCTAATCTTCTCTGTATCATTCTAATTTAAGTTTGTGCTGCCAAAGCTAGCATTAATGTGTTTTTGCTTTTGTTTTCTTTCACCACTTCCTTACTTTTTGGCACAGCAAGATTCTCCAGTCTCATCTTACACATTTCCTTCCCTAGTCCTAGAATCAGCGATTCTCCAAGGAATATTATTTAAAACCAAGATTTGGTCCTTAGGGTGTGCACATTGTTGCTGGGGTGTTATTTCTTTTAGGCTTTCTCATCTGACAGAGCAAAGAAATATATGTTTGTATACTAACCCCCATATATAAACATATCTACATATATATGTATATATAGATGGATACATAATATGTAACCATCTGTAACAATATTAACCTAAATATGAGTTCTTACTGAGAGTAGTTACTTTGAAATTTCTCTTGCCTCCCAATTTTTATTCTTTTCACATTTCCTGGTTTTATTCTGTGTTCCAATTATCTCCTTTAAATTAGGCTTGCTCATTTAAATAACAGCATGCTGGAAGCTTCTAAAGAGCCACCATCAACATACTAGTAGCTGCTAATTAGAACTCTGAAATAAATGAGGTAACTTAATAAAACCTAATTGAGAGGTAGGAGTCTGATGGGCAGCCCCAATGTTTTTGTTTTTGGTTTTAAGATTTATTTATTTATTTTGGAGAGAGAGAGAGCAGAAGCAGGGGGAGGGGCAGAGGGAGAGAAAGAAAACCCTCAAGCAGACTCCCCATTGAGTGCAGAGCCCAACTCGGGCTCAGTCCCAGGACCTTGAGATTATGATCTGAGCCGAAATCAAGAGTCAGTCACTCAACCAACTGAGCCACCCAAGCACCCCACAGCCCCAATATTTAAGACACAAACCCAGAAGAGGTACAACCATTATTGAGTGTTGTTATTGAAGATCTCAGAATGTTTGTTCATAGCCAATTAATCTTAATTCTCCCAACAAGTTTTATTTTTTTCAAGCCTCCATGTTTTTTCATGTGTTGTTTGCTTTGTCTAGACTTCTCTACACAAATTATTCCAGTTGGTAAATTTCTTTTTACCATTCTTTTTTTTTAAGATTTTATTTATTTGAAAAAGAGAGAGCGAGAGAAAGCCTGAGTGGAGAGAGGCACCTAGGGAGAGGGAGAAGCAGACTCCCCATTGAGCAGGGAGCCTGACACAGGACTGGATCCCAGGACCCTAAGATCATGACCTGACCCGAAGGTAGACACTTAACTGACTGAGCTGCCCAAGCACTCCTTTTTCTTTTTTTTTTTTAAGATTTTTTTTATTTATTTGACAGAAAGAGACAGCGAGAGAGGGAACACATGCAGGGAGCATGGGAGAGGAAGAAGCAGGCTTCAAGCTGAGCAGGGAGCCCAAAGCGGGGCTCGATTCCAGGACCCTGGGATCATGACTTGAGCTGAAAGCAGATGCTTAACAACTGAGCCACCCAGGCGCCCCACCCCTCTTTTTACCATTCTATACTTCTTCTCCCACCACCTAACTCCCGTTTAAATGTAACTGTTCCAGTGAATTTTTTTTTGATCTCTTAACCCAAATGGTTATATGTATCTTTCATTCCAATTTTGTAGTAACTGCCTTTCTTATGATGTTTACCTTATTGTAGTATAATTGTGTGTTTAAATGTTTTTGTCTTTCGTAAGTTGCCAATTTTCTGAAATCATTTACTACTACTAATTCTAAAACCGTATCTGGCACATAGTAGACATTCAAAAAAACCTTTATGAATAGAGTAATTGAATTAATTAAAGAAGATAATATTTTATAGGGATTAGAAGGACAAGCAGATAGATGAATTTGACAATGAAACTTAGAACAAAGTTATATTAGGGTTGTTAACTCTGGAAAAGTCTCCAGTCCCAAATTATCTACTCCATTTACCTGTCACAGGGTCTGAAATTCACCATTAGAATTTCTTTCATTCAGTTCAATTTCTTTTTGTTCAAAGTATCATTTTTCAAAGTGAAAATATATCCATTCAGGTTAACCTTTTAACTGATAGTTAATATACTGTCAATCCTTAATGCCTTAGTGTGTGAAATCATCAGATCTCGTGATAGCTTTAATACTGAACACTGACTCATAGGCAGAAGAGAGTTTGTTTCTTAAGAGCATTAATGTTGATATTAAACTGGTGCAAAATCTGTTTTGCCCTTTATAATTTTTGACTTGATAATGAATAATTAACCTCCCCCAAATCTCAATTTTCTCATTTGTGAAGGCTTCTAGAATCTGTATAGTTGAAAATTTTTATGAAGATTAAAGATTGCACAAATGTTATCCCAGTGCCTCATACTCACTAAGACTAAGCACTCAATAAATATCCTACTATTTTCATATTCCTCAGGAATGAGAATTTTGATGAGTTTGGTAGAGAGAGATTTTTTTGTTTTATAATGAATTGCCTACATTGGAAAACCTCAGGTAGGATATTAAAGGGATTTGTAGAATTTTCCCAAAACCCAAGACATCTTGGAACCTGGATGAAGCACTTCCAACCTAGAGAGTTGGAACCTGGAGGAAGCAGATTAAAGAAAAAGGAAAAATTAGATTTACTGTTAGCATGGGTTAGAGTATATCCATGATGTATGTTGAAAAGAAATAATTTGTCTATTTTAAAGTATTATGGAGGGTTTTGTTGGCTTGGAGAAACTGAAAGTTGACCAGTGATTCATTCTTTCAACAAGCGGTTACTGACAACACACTATAAATGGTCTAGGCAATAATCTAAGCACTGAGGATATAGCAGTAAACAATAGAGAAAAAAGTCTGTACTCACATTTAAATGTTAGTGGAGGAGAAATATTTCTCTATGCTGGAAATATGGCTCCAATGGCAAATGGATTTTCATGTTACAATGATTAAAAGTAGGTTATGCTTTACTCTTTTGAAATATATCAAGATAGCTTCTAGAATACGATAACATATCTATTATACACTTAACATGTGTAAGGGACTATATTAACCCCTCTATCAAATAACTAAACTCTCACAACAAATTTATGATGTAGGTTATCATTATTAGCTTAATTTTTCCAATGAAAGAACTGAATCCCAGAGAAAGTAATTAATTAACTTTTCTGAGGTCACATAACTACTGAATGTTACAGTCAGTATTCACAGCCAGAATTCTGACACCAGAGCTCTTAACCACTACCTTATATAGTAAAGTTTAAGACAAATAAGAATGTCCTCTACCAGCCTGCTGCTGTCATCATTTTTCCCTAAGACTCCACAGAGAATAGTCTATTGGCACATCTCCAATACTCTCTCCCTGCATAGTCATTCTCTTCCAAATCCATAGGACATGAGTCATTCAGGAAAGAAATCTGAACCAAAGTGGGCTGCATTTTTGCAGCTTAGGTCACACATGATTTTTATTTTTAATTGAATACACAAAAATCAATACACTAGTCGGTCTGGGAACACTTTTATTTTTTCTTTACTAAAAGGATATATATATATATATATATATATATATATACACACACACACACATATGTAATAGAATAGAATATACCTTTAATCATAGTTTTTAAATACACCAATTCCATACCTACTACCAAAAAATACATCGGATTTAATACTTTGTACAAATAACATAGCCAGGGTAACATTAATAGACTGCTCTAATAGCAGTTGGCAATAAAAGCATTCCGTAAGAAAGGGGAAAAGAGCAAGAAAAATGATTCAAGAAATAGCCAATAACTATAAGGCAAAATTGTTAAAATACATGAATTCTTGATTTCTTTAATGGATTGCCAGTTTTTAGGCAAGGAAATAGTACTAATCTCAAGGCATTTACACAGGATCTAAGATCCATATTTTAAAATATCTAAATCACTCACCTTATTCCTGTTTAGTTAACTGTCACAAAATGAAAATTCTGTGGGTTAATGGAATCATTGAAGCACACACTGAATAAGAATTTGTTGAAAATAATAAGGATACTCTCTCTAAAACCCAAGGAATATCATTAATTTGTTTCACAGAAATCCTGAAATCTGATTTAGACCACATGATCAGCACTGAGGTTTTTTTTAATTATTTATTATCCACTGATATTCCTTATGCTTACACATAATCTTCAACTAGGACTAAAAAACATGCCAGTATACAAGGATTTATAATGTTTACTTCTTAGTTCATGTTTGCTTTGAATTTGAATTCGATCATAATTAGTCTCTGACAGCCGTCCTTTACTGTACCAGATCCTCTCTCATGTGTCTATTTTTCTTTAATTTACCTAGAACTTTTTTTTAAAAGTAAAGAGTCTTTTTCTTAATCATTGTAGATATTTTAAAATATCCTATTATAATTCTAGTTTCATGTATAGGATATAGAATTAAGTGATAGTTTCAAGCAAGGAACAGACATGAGAAGTTATAGAACCATTTATAAGAATTAAGTATAACATAATTTCTCATTTAGTATTTTTATTGCTATTTCACATTTATAATTACAATACAAAAGTGATTTTAAATCTTTCTTATGCTACCCTTCTTTGCAGTACCATGATTTAACATAAGTACTTGTATTTTCAGTTTTAACTTAAGTATAGAAAAATGCTAACTTTTTTATTCTCTTAAACTAAAATGGGCAGTATGTCATAATTAAATACTAGAATAGAAAATCTCAGCAGAAGAGGGATCAAATTCCACCTTCATTATTTACACATTGTGTGATTTAGAGCAAGGCACTTAACCCCTTTAAAATACAGGGCACTCATCTGTAAAAGTGAGGTCAATTATATTTGCTTCATATAGTGGTTGTGAGGATGAATGGTAATGCAAACAATAGATGGCTTGACATAAAGTAGGTTGCTCTCTATGCCTGTGAACTTTGGATTATATTGTTAGTCTTCTCTTTTTCAAAGAGTATCCTGTTAATTTCTGAAACAAATTGGTAATTAAATAAATATCTGTACTGTAAATTAAAATTCTTTAACAAGAGAAGGTAACAGAAATCCTTTTCTATATTCACAGAACACCAGGTCATGCACCTTTGGGACTCAGAGAAATTTTAAGTCATGTTAGCA